AGACAAATGATGTATTATACAGAGCAAGGTAGTGTCACTTTAAAGAACACCCTTAAAAATGATTAAAAGAAACAAAAACAGATTGTGAGTCGAGCGCCTTATCCACCTGGCCATGCCGGGCACAATTGAGAAAGTAAATGTAAATACATGATAATAATAAACTGTGAATTTTGAAGCCTTCAGTATCAGCATCTGTTTTTTAAAGATTTTCTTTACTTAAGATGCGTTCAAGCCTGTGCTAACAATACCAAGTCATTCTGCTTACATTATTAAGCTTTAAGTTTTAAAAACAACAAAGTGAACTAATAAATACAGCGCTCACCATCTAGTTTCTAGTTATTATACTAAATAACTACTTTTCTGACCGGAGACAAATGATGTATTATACAGAGCAAGGTAGTGCCACTTTAAAGAACACCCTTAAAAATGATTAAAAGAAACAAAAACTGTTTCATTATTCCTTTTGTTAAACAAATAATAGATAAAAATAACCTACAATTTGATTAACTATAAAATATTTAAATAACTACTTACTAGCTCTCTTCAATCAATTTCTTGATGAAAATATTCTAAGGGATTATTTTCAATTCCAGCCTTACAGGTTCGTCTGTCAAATTCGTGGAATTTCAATATAATTTTAATTTTTTGTCAACAAAAATATTTTCATCTTAAAGGCACAAGTAATCTCCATTCTCCATCATTACTGAGCCTACTAATGCTTCTTGAAATGGCAAGAAAACATCTAAGCATAGCCATAATTAGCTGTGAGGACTCCAAGGTTGTTTCCTTGGTTATTTTATATATATATAAATAAATGGAAGTTATAGCTCAAAACCTATGTTTCACCATATTAGAATATTAGTTGTGGTTATGGTGCTGCTTTCAAGAGATTTTCCATCAAGCTTCGGAGGAACAGTACAGTATTATCATTCAATGAACCTATGATGGTCCATGAATAATGCATTATTATTATTATCTATTGCCAAAACAAACAACACATATTGTAAACTAAGAAAGTATTAGACGTCTTAAATTTACATCATGGACAACAGCTCTTCTCCTCCTCTACAAATGTATCAAAAATATTGTACAATCTGATTTCGAAGATTTTGATACACTTCCTGTGTTGACTGGCTAAAAGTGTTTTCCAAACCATATTACTGTCACTTACACAAAGCACTTGGTTTAATTTAATTACATGCCTATAAGAAAACTTTCTAAAAATCTAGTTCATCCATTGTTCGAGAAAGTCTGACATTTTCTTGTTTCCTTCTCTGACTTCTTCTTACTGCATCGGCTCGACGATAAGGCTCATTCTTAAGACCTATATTAAAATGAATTATTTGATTTTATTGTAAACTTAAAAAAAAGTATTTGAAGATTCTGTACGCTTTGCTTTAGAAAACATATTTACTTTTTATTTACTGTTTGAATCAATTTTGTGAATAAAGGTTTTAGTTGTTAGTTACCATCATGTGCCTTCCTTAGCAACTAAAACATCTACCTATTTCAAATTTCGTATAAAACAGAGGACATATTAATCTTAGAGCTGACAGAATTATAAAAATATTGTGAAATGAAAATTTATGCAATTAATTCGAGAAGTATAATAATGCCCAGACATCATAAACTCACTTTACTTACTGTTACATCTTTAAATCTAGGTTTCATTCTAATTTTTTATACAAATATTGTTTGTTTGTGTTTAAGCACAAAGCTACCCAATGGGCTATCTACACTGCGCACACCATGGGGATTCAAACCCAATTTTTTATGGTATATGCCCGAACACTAGAAGCTAGGGAGGCTACATAATAATTAATTGGTAAAATGTTTTTATTTACATTTGTATGTTCAGTTAAAAGTTTAATGAAATAGCCAAATAAAGAATTATATGTTAAAACAAAAGCATACATATTAGACAATGTTCAGTTCATTGATGTCATCAATGGCAATTTTAATGTCAAATTAAAGTTTAAATGTATTTTCTAAAGAAAGAGATCTTCTCACCTAAGAGTATGTCCTCAAGAGCTCCGTTATAAACTTCATCTTGTTTCAAAAGCCTTTTTTCTTTGACCTGACGCGTCTTATTCTTCAATTCATTGATAACAGCATCCTATAGTTTAAAAAAAAAGATTCAGTAAAATGATTTGAATAAACAGAACAGAATTTTAAAAACATAATGATAAGAGATAATTTCAAAGTTGAGATCTCTACGTTATAAAACTAAACAAACACGGTTTTTACAATTATAGTTTAATACAACTTTTGATGAAACTATGCATTTTGAAAGTTAGGATACATTTATATTAACACTTTATTTTGACCTCTTAATTACATTATATGAAACAATAACTACACATATAGTTAAAAACTGTAATTGTCTGGAAATTTTACCTGTTTTATTTTTCGTGCATTGAGAGAGTTCTTTTTTCTTACATATGCTGGAGGGTTTTCCTCTGCCTCTTTTGCAGCTAGTTCTTGTTTTCTCCATTGCTCATTTTCTTGTTCTGCTTGCTAAAACATTGTTATACAAAATGTTTGATATGTGTAGTTTTTTCATGATTATACAGATAACACAAAAAGTTAATATTTAAATACATTTTGTGAATAAAGACTGATTTGATTGTAAGATAAAGATGTATACAGCATATTTAGATAATATTCCTTAGATAATTCATTGTTTTAAAAAATTTCAGATATTTTATTCATACACTCTTATATTTATAAAATATAATATTGAACAATATTGTTAAGTCTTGTTCCATACCAACTGATTTTCATAGAATCTAGTCAATTACTGTGTGCACTTGTGTGTATGTTGGCATATAATGAAGAATTGCTGGATCGCTTGTCATTAAACCTGGCATTTACTCTTAGGGTTCAACAGGGAGTGAATTAGGGGAGGTCATTTTTGGATATGACCCCACCTGTGGCATCCCCCTGAGAGCCCGTACGTCTTCTCCTTGAGTTGAGCAGGTACGTCAGCTAGTATACTATAATATTAAAGTTAAATTTAGTTATTTTAAAACTGAAAGATTCAGTAACTGTGTACTCCCGGTAAATGATAAAAAAAGAACACATAACGTGTACACGCTAGGAGAAATAAAGACATGATAAAAAACTGAATTTTCATTAGGCTAACTGTCACTAAAAGCTTGAAATAATACGTTTTGAATCTTGCCTAGCAGCTTCTTCATGGGCATATTGCTATCTACAGGAGATCTTAACCTTATGTACATAAATGGGGATGAAGGTCAAAGTGTGCATGCCACAACCTTTTACAGAGATCTATTCAACATGACTATTATGTATTTGATATCAGAGTTATCAACTATTAATTTGACCCTATATTGCTGATTTAACAACAGTTCATAGTAGAGGAGAGTAAATACCAGATATTGGAAAAAAAAATGTGGATATACATTTCAGAGGTTCTAGAGGTTATTGCAAATGCAAACTGCATGATGTAAAAAAAAGTATCTGTATTTTTCACATGAACGTCATTTTAAACTCCAATTTGTTAAAGTCTAAGTCGAACCACCGTCGTCAATACGCAGACATATCTTGAGTACGAATACTTCCGTAACATATCTGATTTTTTTGTGTGCAACAGACTTGTAGAAGTTACTCAAATCTTTCAACATTTCCTGTAAATCCACATAGCGAATTCAGAATTACAGTCAATATTCCTTCTCCAGTATGGAGTCGGTCCATTGAACCAATAGTGTTCACATGCAGTCGGTCCATTGAACCAATACTGATCACGTGCAGTCGGTCCATTGAACCATTACTGTTCACATGCAGTCGGTCCATTGAACCATTACTGTTCACATGCAGTCGGTCCATTGAACCATTACTGTTCACATGCAGTCAGTCCATTGAACCAATACTGTTCACACGCAGTTAAGCAGAATTAATTATTGTTTGTTTGTTTTTTAGCTCAAAGCTACATAATGCCCTATCTGCATTCTGCTAGGAATCAAACCCCAGATTCTAGCAATGGAAGTCTGCAAACTTACCACTAGTTCACCAGGGACTTTCAATACAAGTAAGAATAATTTGACCCCAAAAGTGCATATGGCACAATACACTGTAGGAAACAAAAGGCATTAGGGTAATGATCAGATATAATAATACAAACACTTATCATTATGATGTAATAGTTCTTATATTTAATGTGATACAATTTTAGTTGTTTACAATTATAGCAATATGTGGCATGAAATTTGGTATGAGATCCTCCTAGGTTAAACCTCGAGGGGATTATCGGGGGTGCTCAGAAGCTTTAGATTATCTTCTCCCCTCTCGTGATGGTGATGTGATCTGTACTTGAAGTTTTGTGGTTTAAGCTTACTTAAATAAAGAAGATTATGTTAACATGGCAGATTGGAGTATGCCTTAAGCAGTCAGGAGGAATCCGGAGAGATATGAATAAGGGAGATCCAGACTTCACAAACCAAACTGTTATTCACAGATCACCTGCAGTGACTTATATACTGTATGTTTTCATTTCTGATTACCAATAACTTTATAAACACACGTAATGAGCTGAAAAAGTTAAACTTCGTAGAAGATAAAGACAAAATTCTGGTATAATTTCTTTAATGGGAATTAGTTTTTTTGATACCTTTGGTTTAAAATACTGCATGTAATTGTAGAAATGTTTGAAAAGTGTAATTTGTATAGTTATTCTAGTAAGCCACGTGATGTTCAATTACATATCTTACCTTGAAGGCTTTTGAAAAACGAACAAACAGGGAGAAGAAAGTGTTAGGAGCAACAGTTCGTGCACTTTCACCAAAGTACTCTACACAGTCAGAGTAGGCTTCCTGTTAAATAAACAGTCAAGAGTATTTTGTTTTTGTGAGTCATTAAACATATTTCTTCCTAACAAGTAAATGTACATAATGTAAGTTATTGGTAAAATTACCAAGAGCTTTCTTTCTTGCCTTAAAAGTTAGAAAACAAATTAAAAAACAATTTTAATTTACATGTTCTGGAAAAGGTCAACCAATAAAAGAAATGTATGCATGCAAGCAATGGCATAGTGAGGGCGTCTGACACCCCCCCAAAACTCCACCTGCCCTTTATACTCTTATCTTCTAACCTTATACGGCAACCCTACCTACCATGGTACTGTATTTCACCATAGTGTCTTTGAAAGACAATTGCTGGTCGATTAAGTAATAGTGGCACAGAGTCCAGAAAAGCATTTAATCTCATGAAAAGGGATTTTGTTGTGAAAGGAGGTATTTTTCATGTGACTTCTTTTAATTTATTGTCTATTACTACGGGATTTTGGTGTATTTTAATCAATCTAACACTAGAAACCATTTGATGTCCATGGTATTTATGATGATATACTAACATTTGATGTCAAGACATTTTAACAAGTCTTAGTCTTATGGGAACAGATAAATTCTGGGTAAACTAGTTGGTGGCCCTAACGCAGTGCCCGGGGGGCAAACCCCCCCACCTCCTGTACCCCCCTTACTACACCACTGTAAGCAAGTTATCGTACTTCTTCTTCTCCATTTATAAGAAATATTGATTCAGTAAAAGGAAGATTCTGTAAAACTTTATAACTCAAGATATAGCATAATTTGGTTCCAATTTCAAGATAAAGAAACAAACTTGACTTTCATTACAGAAATGTAATGTGCTTCACTGGAATAGTTGACTAGAAGTCTAGAACTTTCCTTCAATGCTAACAGAAACAAGCAACTTTATTTACATTATGACTGAAATGTTAGCATAAGTATGATTTTTCTATGAACAAAATGAGATAATCCTTAAACATACTTCACGTAACTGTGACAAATGTGTGATTAAAAACACAATAATTGACATTTTTTACATTCATTTCTTAAATGTAAAAAATTCTATCTAAAGACTACCCAGCTTACTTGTGCTATTTTTGTATTGGCCTTTAGCATCTTTAGTTTTTCTTCATTGTTTGTCAAAAATTCTCTCAAGATAGCAGCATCCTTAGCATCACCATGGAGAGGCAGTTCATTTGTACATAGCTCCAGTCCTTTCTCTAACTGACTAACATCCATCAGGATGTTTTCTAAAGAAGCTAAAGAAAAATATGTTTATTAACTTGCTAAAAATTATATTTTTTATAGACCAAAGGTAAAACTGTTTTGTATAGTGAAACAATACAATGTATGTTGTTAAATATTTTTGGGTTAAAGAGACATCTTTGTGACATAAAACCTTGTAACTTTTTTTTTCCAAAATGATTAGAAAGTGGATATTATTGAAATTGAAATGTATATTAAACTGTTTCAGAAACTTACAATGAAGAATTTAGAAAAAAAACAACCTTTACTCTCCAAATTAGAAGAAAAAACGTTTTATTTCAGCCAACATTTTGCCATTGCAGCTTCATCAGGGCTACTGGTTTGTTTGTTTTGAATTTCGCACAAAGCTAGACGAGGGCTATCTGCGCTAGCCGTCCCTAATTTAGCAGTGTAAGACTAGAGGGAAGGCAGCTAGTCATCACCACCCACCGCCAACTCTTGGGCTACTCTTTTACCAACGAATAGTGGGATTGACCGTCACATTATAATGCCCCCACAGCTGAAAGGGCGAGCATGTTTGATGGGATGGGGATTCGAACCCGCGACCCTCAGATTGCGAGTTGAGTGCCCTAACCACCTGGCCAGGCCGGGCCCAGGGCTACTGGTACAAGAACTTGTTACAATGAAAAAGCTGTGAGACTAATGAAAGAACGTGTTCTACATATAGTGCCTTTTTTTTTCAAATGGGAATAACTAACAGCTAAATAACAGTGTAGCTTGTAAACTCTTAATTAGACGAGGCTGAGGTAGGAAGTCTAAACTCTTCAGAAGTGGTGTTCAGTTACTCAACAGATGGTTTACATATAAGACAGAACAATCCAGTAGAAATGTTTCCAATGACCTAGCTCTAAGTACAGGTATGACTGTTACCTACAGAAGAGTAATACACATATTACCACAAAGTGGCCTTCATGAATGTACAGTTGCTCAAAAACTACTGCTTAAATGGCAGAAACAAACCAAGACTTCAAAATAATGGGATGAAAAAAGCTGAAGAAGGGTTCTCTTTACAAATGAATCCAAATTCAAATTGTTTGGCAATACTCAAAGACAGTTTCCTCAAAAGTAGAGAGGACAATAGTATAAGAGTCAACATATAGTACCTACAACAAAGTATGCTGAGAACCAAGTCAAGTGTAGGTTTCATCTTAGCCAATGGTGTTGGAAGTCTACACAAAGTTGATGGCAACCTGACTGCTGACACGTACAAACAGACTGTTTTCCATGATCTCATTCCCTCAAGAACAAGACTTAATGAGCAGGTAATAATTTTCCTGTAAGACTGTGATCCAAATCATGCAGCAAGCATGGTGAAACAATACCAGGTTGGTATCACTTGCAACAATGGCTTGGCCTGCACAAAGTCCCAATTTGAATATTATTAAGGCTCTATGGGAACTAAGAAAGTCAAATGACAGCCAATTATGTACAGAGAAAGTTGCAGTAGCATAAAACTAAAGTGTACTGCTCTGTTTAAAGTAAATACTACTTCCATTGTTCAACTTATTCATTTTTATTTTGTACTTTTTGTAAAATCGTATTATACTAACTTTATATATATTATTTACTTGGAACAACTCATTGTTTGTGACAGTTGTATAAATATCAGCTATGTGTTTCCATAATCATTTCCAGTGGTATATATATATATATATATATATATATTCATATAATAACCATATATTCTATAAAACACAATGACTAAATAAAAAGATTTTGCAATGTCATTAAAAAATTATTGTTATAATATCCTAATAAATTATATTAATTTAGTGTTATTGAAAATCAGAAGAATTGGTATTTTTTTTAAATCCTAATTTAAA